GCGCGTGAAGAGTAAAAAACGGTGATAAAAAGTCGGTAAGCAGCTGTTTGTTTATTTTACTTTTAGATTTTTAGTGATTTCTGTGAAAAATTCAGTTCATTATTTGATACTTTATAGATTTCCCGACAATTGCGCTTGTTGTTCGTCATGTTTTCGATGTGTAAACAGTCACATCCCGCTACTGGAGTGGAATTTGCAATTTGCTGCCATTTCTTCAACAATTTTGAAGAGAACCTCGTCGTAGCAGGTGCAAATATACTCAAGGTATATCGTATATTTCCTCATCTAGATGCTGCTCAACGCCAAAAGTTGCTAAATATCAATGACTTACGTACACCTCCAAAAATGCGCTTAGAATGTTTGGCGACCTACACACTCTATGGAAATGTGATGTCTTTGCAGAGCGTGTCGTTGGCAGGATCACTACGGGATGCACTACTTATAAGTTTCAAAGATGCTAAGTTATCGGTAGTGCAACATGATCCCGATACGTTTGCACTAAAAACACTTTCTCTGCATTTTTTCGAAGAGGACGACGTCCGTGGTGGATGGACCGGGCGCTACTTCATACCAATGGTACGAGTTGACCCAGACTCACGCTGCGCTGTAATGCTGGTTTATGGTAAACAGTTGGTGGTGCTACCCTTTCGAAAGGATAATAGTTTAGATGAGATCGAGCTTGCGGATGTGAAACCCATAAAGAAAACACCTACAGCACTAGTTGCTCGCACTCCAATATTAGCTTCTTACCTAATAGCACTTCGCGAACTTGACGAAAAAATTGATAATGTACTAGATTTACAATTTCTATATGGCTATTATGAACCAACACTGCTGATTCTCTACGAACCAGTAAGAACATTTGCTGGACGTGTCTGTGTACGATCCGATACGTGTGTATTAGTAGCCATTTCTTTAAACATACAACAACGAGTGCATCCAGTAATCTGGACAGTTACCGGTTTGCCATTTGATTGTCTTCAAGTTTTCCCAATACAGAAGCCAATAGGTGGTTGCCTCGTCACTACTGTGAATTCCATAATTTATCTTAATCAGAGTGTGCCACCATATGGTGTGAGTCTAAATAGCTCAGCAGATCATAGCACAAGTTTCCCTCTCAAGCCACAGGACGGTGTACGGATCTCACTTGATGCAGCCAATCTAACATTTATTGATATTGATAAACTAGTGATCTCGCTTAAAGGTGGTGAACTGTATGTGCTGACTTTATGCGTTGACTCAATGCGTACGGTTCGAAATTTCCATTTCCACAAAGCTGCTGCTAGCGTTCTGACCAGTTGCATGTGTGTTTGTCAATCAGAATATTTATTTTTGGGTTCAAGATTGGGAAATTCGTTATTGCTGCATTTTACTGAAGAGGATCAAAGTACTGTTATAACGTTGGACGAGGTAGAAACAAACGATGCTAACGCTGCAGTAAACGACGAATCTGTACCTAAAGCGAGGCGTATCGAAGACGAAGAGTTGGAGGTAAGAGTATTGATTTAATTATAACATTTAAAGATTAATTAGAACTCGCTCTTTAGGTATATGGAACCGGAGCTAAAACATCGGTTCAATTGCGGAAATACATTTTCGAAGTTTGTGACAGTTTGTTAAATGTGGGACCGGTAAATTTTATGTGTGCTGGAGAACGTGTTGAATTTGAGGAAGATGGCGTTACATTACGGCCACATGTAGAAAACTTAGCTGAGCTAAAAATTGAAGTCGTTGCTTCTAGTGGTCACAACAAGAACGGTGCATTATGTGTCTTCGTAAATTGCATTACACCCCAAATTATTACCAGCTTTGAGCTGGAAGGTTGCCTAGATGTATGGACTGTGTATGACGACGCTAGCAAAAAGTCAATACGTCACGATCATCATGATTTTATGATACTGTCGCAAAGCTCATCATCTCTAGTATTACAGACTGGCGATGAGATCAACGAAATCGAAAATACCGGCTTTAGCTGTCAACAACCAACTATATTCGTGGGTAACCTTGGACAAAATCGTTTCATTATACAAGCAACAACACGTAACGTCAGACTACTGCAAGGAACTCGCCTAATACAAAATGTACCCATCGATGTGGGCTCACCGGTAGTGCAAGTGTCGACTGCAGATCCATATGTTTGTTTACGTGTACTAAATGGGCAAGTGATAACATTGGCTTTACGCGAGACTAAAGGCACTCCACGTCTTGCAATCAATAAAAATACGATCAGCAGTATGCCTGCTGTGATTGCAATAGCTGCATACAAGGATATATCTGGCTTATTCACAGCTAAGTCGGATGACGTGCTCAACCTCACAGGCAGTAATGGCAATTCATTGTATGCTGGTTTGGGATACATGAAAGCGGAGCCACATATGAAAATTGAAGATGAAGAAGATCTATTATATGGGGAATCCGGCAACGCTTTCAAAATGAATAGTCTGGCTGATCTTGCAAAACAATCCAAACAAAAAAATACTGATTGGTGGCGCCGCTTGCTGCCTCAAATAAAACCATCTTACTGGCTGGTCACCGCTCGTGAATCGGGCACGTTGGAAATATATTCTATGCCCGATATGAAGTTAATGTATCTAGTTAATGATGCGGGCAATGGCGGTATGGTGCTCAGCGATTCAATGGAGTTCGTGCCAGTGCCATTAAGCAATCAGGAGAACAGCAAAACTGGCATACTTTTGAATTGCATGCCACAGCATGCAAATTCGCCTTTGGCACTGGAAATCAGCATGGTTGGCTTGGGAAATCAAGGCATGCGTCCACTACTTTTAATACGTACGCGTCTGGAATTGCTAATCTATCAAGTGTTTCGCTATCCTAAAGGTCATTTGAAAATACGTTTCAGAAAATTAGAAACACTCAATATGTTGAACGTGCAATCAACTAGTATGGAAGTAGATGATTTGGAAATCGAACTAGAATCGTACAATTTGCAAGAGCGTTATGTTAGCAAATTACGTTACTTTGCCAACATTAGTGGACACAATGGTGTAATGGTTTGCGGCGTAAATCCACATTTTCTTTTCCTCACCTCCAAGGGTGAACTCCGTGTACATAAGTTCTACGGTAATGGTGTCGTGCGAAGTTTTGCACCGTTCAACAATGTAAATTGTCCCTTTGGCTTTTTATATTTTGATCATACACCCGAACTAAAGATTTCTGTGCTGCCTACCTACTTGACTTACGATTCTATTTGGCCAGTGCGCAAAGTACCATTGCGTTGTACGCCGCGACAGATTGTCTATCATCGTGAAAATCGTGTTTATTGCTTGATCACGCAGACCGAGGAGCCTACCAACAAGTATTATCGTTTCAATGGTGAAGACAAGGAATTGACAGAGGAAAACAAGGGCGAACGCTTTATCTATCCTAATGCTTCGAAATTTGCAATGGTGCTTATGAGTCCCGAAACATGGGAAATTGTGCCAGATGCTTCCATACAATTTGAGGAATGGGAACACGTGACAGCATTTAAAATAGTAAAGCTCGCTTATGAGGGTACACGTTCCGGTCTTAAAGAATACCTTTGTATTGGCACAAATTTTAACTATAGTGAAGATATCACCTCACGTGGAAACATACACATTTACGACATCATTGAAGTTGTACCTGAGCCAGGCAAACCATTAACAAAATTCAAATTGAAAGAAGTTTTCAAAAAAGAACAAAAAGGCCCCGTATCAGCCATTTCGGATGTACTCGGATTTCTAGTAACAGCACTCGGCCAAAAGATCTATTTGTGGCAGTTGAAAGACGATGATCTTATTGGTGTCGCATTTATTGACACAAACATCTATGTGCATCAGATAATATCTGTGAAATCATTAATTCTAATCGCTGATGTCTACAAATCAGTCAGTTTACTACGTTTCCAGGAGGAGTTCCGCACACTTTCACTGGCATCACGTGATTTTAATTATTTACAAGTCTATAATATTGAGTTCATGGTAGACAACAATAATTTAGGTTTCCTAGTGACAGATGCAGATAAAAACCTTATAGTTTACATGTACCAACCAGAATCTCGCGAATCTATTGGTGGTCAGAAGTTACTGCGCAAATCTGATTATCACCTCGGCCAGGCGGTGAATACAATGTTTCGTGTGCAATGCCATCAACGTGGACAACACCAACGACAACCATTCCTCTATGAAAATAAACATTTGGTATTTTTCGGTACATTAGATGGTGCGCTTGGATATTGCCTGCCACTGCCTGAAAAAGTATACCGACGATTTTTGATGTTGCAAAACGTTCTGCTCTCCTATCAAGAGCATCTGGGTGGTTTGAATCCTAAAGAGTTTCGCACGGTGAAAAGTTCGAAAAAACTATCTCTAAATCCTTGTCGGTGTATAATTGACGGTGATCTAATTTGGACATACACAATGATGTCTACAGCGGAGAAAAATGAAGTGGCGAAAAAAATTGGTACGAGAACAGAGGAAATTCTTGCAGATCTGTTGGATATTGAACGCATTGCATCGGTATTCTAAGCCAACTCCCTAACATTACATTTAATTTTTAGTAATAGTATATAAGAATTTGAGAAGACAAGTTTTATTACGATAGAACACCGTGTGCTTAATAAGGAAAGCAAGTGGGGAGAATAAATAACATTAGAAAATAAACTATTAATGTATTTTTCATTGTATTCAGCGTTATGAGTAAGATTGTTGTACCGATTCTAGTTATTATAGCTTACAGGTGCAATTTTTTATAGCTTAAAAGGGACAAAGAGATCTATAATAAGTTAGAGTTTGATCGGTAAATTGTATGGCAACTATATGCTATAGTTGTCCGATCTGAACAATTTGTTCGGAGATTGTAGCGATCCCTTAGATAATAATTTATGTCAAAGTTATACATATTGTGCAAATGTGTATGTCTACATTATAAAGAGGTCAAAAGTGAACAAACATCCTAAATACAAATTTTTATCACAATACCATAACAGGTCATGGGCTTGGATGATAAGTGCGGATGGGTTAGTGAGTTAATACTTAACATTTGCTCTTATGCCTTTATTTCTCTATACATTCATTAATTTCATTTAAAATTCATATGTTCGCAAATCAAAAGCTATCGCTTATAGCTATAAAATGGTATATCATAGAACTGCCAAATTTTTGCGCGTGTTTTATCCACTTCATAACGTATGCAACGCTGTCTAAAAGTCCCTTTTTGATGCTCTTTGCAACTTAATATTGGATATCCGTTTGCGAAGCATATTTTGCGAGTACCAAAGTAGACTCGTCCCAATGTATTTGCAACCATATTATTAATAGATTGTAGGCAGTTCAAGAATGTTTGCTCACAAGTGCATTTCATACTGAAAATATTGAATACCAGTTTTGATATTTAAAAGTAATTTTGGTTTATATATAAATTTATTAATTGTATTTAATACCACTCACATAGGAAATAAATCGGTGTTATTAAGTCCATGTAAGGTTTGTCTTGGCTCCAGTATTTTTTCACAATGGTCATGTTCCCTACAGCATGTGTCCGACTCACGTTGAGTTCCCAAATCATTATAATTGGTTGCTGTATTGCCAGGTCCGCACCATTTTGTACCTGGTACAGTTATACCAGTGAAAGGAACTGATGGTAATGCTTGATTATAGATATCTTCTTCTTCGAATATTGACTCCTCTTGAAATGCACCAACGGCTACAGCCAGTAGCAAGATGATGAGACTGTTCTGAAATTTAATCATGCTTCTTAATAAGCTTTTAATAAACTAATTTTCGACTGCAAAAACTTTATATTCCAATTCAGCTGTAAATCTCAGATTGTTACGAAAACTTAATGACCTCAGAGATATATAACACTGATAAGACTTATGAACCTTGTGAGTAGACTTCAATTTAATGAATTTGTAAGATATGTATATTCAGCCAGTTCCATATATTTAAGTTTAAATACTATCTAAATATACACTAGATTAAATAATAAAAATATTATGTACCCACAATGGATGCATATCCTACATATACATATAAATTTAAATTTGTAAAGAAAAATGTGTAAAGGAATATGTATATACATATATTTACATATTTTTGTGTTCATACATTTGTATGTGCTTAATTAATATTAATATGGTGCGATTACAACTCTGCTACATATTTGGCCGAACTTCTCCCATGTGTAGGGCTTTCATTGATTTTGTTGGGGAAATATGGTGTCCTGGATTTATTCCGCCACCAATCAGATGTGTTTCTTATCAAAAATACGTTCTATTTGAACCCTTAATTTAGTTGGTTCTAGTCACGCATATATGATAAATTCATATGTAAATATATGAGAATTGTCTGCGTGTTATTGTACTATAATCCACCCAACCTAATTTTGGCTTATATTTATAGGGAATGGTAAATACATAAAAGGATTCTTCAAAAAATTTTATTTATCCAATCATAAATAAATGTTAGTGATATAAAGTTTATTATTATTATTAGGGTAACTTCTTATTAATTTGACCTTCCTTTTACATATTTCCGCTTAAAATTTAATTTCCTGTAATTTGTGTTTGCCCTGGAATGTCAGTTTGTAGAATATATCATAACAGCTGATTTTTTTTTTGTTTTGATAAGTTTATTTGTTTATTATTAAACACGGACAACTTGTTATAAAGTATACACTTAATTAAATCTATTTTAAAGACTTATACTCATATTCTTTTGAACACTTATAAAAATGATTTTTCGGTACGGGTTGAGATGTGTTGAAAATAAATATAAAAATATTGTATCAACATGCATACTAAGGTGCAATCATTTCAGTGGCATAAGTTATGTGCAGGGCCAAGAACCTGAACCAAAAATACGTGAATATTTCTATTATATAGATCACGAAGGCATGGTGAGATTCTTGCAATTGAAAATACTTTTGGAAATTTATAAATTTTTAAATGTAATCAGCTTTTTTTAGACGATGCCAAAATGAAAAACTTCACCTCTTGCTTTAAAGAAAAGCAATTCTTGAAATTTTTCTTTAGTCGAGTAAAACTGAATGACACGAAAAGATATCGTGAACATTTTCCGTATCTATCCTTATGTGGACGTGAACGTAATTTCATACGCTGTGATGATACACCAATTGTATTCACACATGTGTTAGCAGACGATAAGGGTAAATATTATACTGGATATTAAAAAAACTAATTATTATATACATAAACTTTTATATTAGGTTGTGATCGTTTGTCATACGCTCATGCCGCAGACCAGCTAACCACTGAATTTTTACCTCAAAATATTTATATGAACCCCAAAACAGGTCGCGTTTACCATCCTGCATGGTCTAAAGTGGGTGGCATTGGTTTGATACGTTCGAAGTTAGCTATAGAGCTAAGTCGTAATTTTGAATTCGTTAGCGGAGAACAAGAACCGCCTACACATTTCACGTGGCGTGGTAAGCGTTTGGAATTGGAAAATAATTGGGTAGGACATACTCAACGCCTTGGAATATTTGAAAAAGAAGAGTGTAATTGATACTGTGATAAAGTTAAGGAATATTTTTTATTGTTTTGTTAAATAACTAAAAGTTATATTATATTATTGCTAACTACTGATTATATCTTTAATGAATACTTAATATTTTAATATCTTTATAAAAACTCTTATTACTCAACGCTTAGAGGTTTAAATTCACCTTCCTTTACCCACGAAAGACCATTTGATGGCACAGTTGGGCTTTCCGGTAGATCTTTGCCTGAGCAAATGCGCTCCTTTATTGGTCCATGAATATCTGTGTCAAACTTTTCAAACACTATGTAATGTGGATCCTCTGTAGGTGGTTCATCATAAATACGATCTTTGCTAGAACTTGCACAGTCCTTCGCTCGCGCTATAAATTCAGCACGATTTTGTGAAAGTAATTCTGCTGCTTCGGCATTGTTATATTTGGCACCACTAGCGGCAAGGCGTGTGCACTCAATGGGATCGATAAATATTGCCTGTATATATTTAAGTAATTGCCAAATGTGATCCTCGCCGGTACGCCAATAAGGAAAAGCGCATAAAACATCCAAAGCTCCGGTGTAAGGGCATATAAGTGGGTGTATGATTTCATTTTGGAAGATAATAGTCTAAGATTTAATGAAAAAATGTAAAATTAATAATTGATTTATTTAAATCTGCGCTTTTCTTACAGGCAATGTCTTATCATCAGGAAATTTATCTGGCAATAGTATTGTAAAACGAAATACTGCATCAATATAAAATCCTTGTCTGACAAATATGACACCAAACCATACTGAAAATATTGAAAATATCAAAATAATTACATTTAAATAAAGTGATAAAAAAAAGTAAAAATTTATTAAGACAACTTACATAGCGAGTTTCCATATGACGGTATTACATAGACCCCGCCTACTTTTTCGGATTCAATCATTTTGCTTTAAATATAATCACTAGTTAATATTATTCAATGGCGCGGTCCATGTTATTACTTACTACTCTGCAAGTATTTTATATTCCTGTTGAATAGTAGTCAACAATTTATCATCTCCTTTATGTGCATCTAACGTCATTTTCAAAATTAACTTTTTGTAAGCAATTTAGCTAGAAAATAAAAATACAATAAATAATTTTTCAAATCAGCTGATTGTAAACAAAGATGTGTTGTTTGTGCCTTGTAGCAAATGTCAAAAATCGGTAAATAACGTAAGATTTCTCTGTACGATACGTTCACATGCCAATTTTGTATCTCATCAAAGTAATTAAATAAGTAAGGTAAATGGTTGAGCGTTAAAATGCATAAAATTTATAATTGTATAATCGGTTACATAGCCGACATATTCGTTTTTGTAAATGGCAATGGAATTTGAAATTTTAATTTTGTTCAACGTAATAGTGATTGTCATAAACACGCGAAACACAGCTCTATTATAAGTTTGTAAAAGGCAAAAACAACAACCGATCCATTGAAGGAAGTTGAAAGGTGTTCGGGAGAGGTAATTTGTTTTGGATTTAATAATATAATTTGTAACTAATATAAACCTTTCTTCTTTGTAGGACTAAAAGGAAAACTAACTTCCTTCAACATAATTGAAAAGAGTTCACCTTGTTACTTCGCTTCAGATATATTTCTCAATGCTGATTATGCTATTTTCGAAGGCCAGTATAAAACAAAGCATTATATTTGACAACCAGAAGACGGCATTTAGATAGTATTAGTAGTAGTACCAAATTTGTTATACGCTAATTCGTGGATTAGTAGCTGTCAAGCAACCTGATCGTGACCGTATAAAAAACTTTACACCAGCAATAACACTTTTATATGAGTAATACTTATGTACATTAATTTGCAGTGACGAAAGTGTATATATAATAATTAAGTAGAAATGAGTGCATCAATAATTGCCAATTTATGTGTTTACATCCTTACCTGGAATGTAGGAACTCATCATCCACATGATATTTCTATGACTGATGCTTTGTCGTTAAACGGTACAACAGCCTGCCCGGAACAAAAATTACCTGATATTTACGTTGTGGCATTACAAGAAGTCAGCACCCATGCTAAAAATCAATTTCTTAATATTTTCAATGATGATCCATGGACATTTAAGATTAGTGAGCATCTTTCCCCCCACGATTTTATTAAAGTTGGAACCGAGCAGCTGCAAGGAATATTAATTATGATGTTCGCTCAACCCAAGCATGAACCACATATGAAAGATGTGGAGGTGCAGAGTACTCGTACTGGTTTAGGTGGTTTATGGGGTAATAAAGGCGCCGTAAGTATACGCATGAGTCTCTATGGTACCGGTGTGACTTTTGTTGGTGCACATTTAGCGGCACATGATGACAAACTGAGTGAACGTATCGAAGACTACAATCAAATTGTGAATAATCATCACTATAAAACCCGAAAATATCATAGCATTTTTGATCATGACTACGTTTTTTGGTTTGGTGATCTTAATTTCCGTTTAACTGGCAGCGATTCAGCATGGGATGTGCGCGCTTTGGTTGAGCAGGGTAAATTTGAGGAGTTATTAGAACGTGACCAATTATCATTGGCACGCAGTACAGGCAATGCATTTGCTCTACTCTCTGAAGAACTACCCACTTTCGCACCTACTTTCAAGTTCATTGAAGGAACTTCTGAATACGATTTAAAGCGACGTCCAGCATGGTGTGATCGTATCTTACACCGTGTACAAGAAAATCGTTATCCCGATATAACCTTAAATATAACCCAATTATCGTATAAATCTCATCCCAATTATACTCTCTCTGATCACAAACCCGTATCAGCTGAATTTATTTACAAAATAGAGGCGCAGACTCAAACTGATGAGGAGTTGTACGAATTAACCCACGGTGGCAGCAGTACCGAAGCCCCTTTAGCTAGTGTAACTATCTTATTTGTTACCACTTTGTTGACATTGTACTAAAATTTCGCAACTTGCTTGTATGTAAATATTAATTTTTTCTTGTTTGTTTATCTGCAGTTCGATATCGAAAATGTTCGGCTCGCTCCATTGTATTAATAACTAAACAAAAGCGTTTACAAATAAGAAATTATAAGCAACAAGTCTAATAAGAAGGATCAATTAATTGACAGCGTGTTAAGTGCCAAAATGCCCGGCATAGCGGACATACTCTAACGTATTTTTTTTCAATATATTTTTTTTAGTCTCAGAATTGGTTGTGTTAAAACGTAAAAAGTTAGAATTTCTTTGCATATTGCTTCGTATTGTATGCGTGAATCTCAATATGAAGATTTTGAAATTATTTTTATTAATAATATATGTATATCGTGTTTTTAATTTTGAATTTTGCTTGTTTACGTATATTGAGGTTTATAATTTACATTAATTAAATTAAATGTTAACTTCGGTTGCGCCGAAGCTATAATACCCTTCACAAATACAAAGGCCCCTTACAAGAACTTGATTCCGAACGTTCAATTTGTATGGCAGCTATATGATATAGTGATCTGATCTGACCAAATTCTGTGGAGTATAATTTGTTGCCTTAAGCAATAACTCGTGCCTAATTTCCTGAAGATACCTTGTCAAATGAAAAAAATTTCCATGCAAGCACTTTACTCCGATCTTTCAGTTAATATGGCAGCTATATGCTATAGTCATCCGATCTATACAATTTCTTCCTTAAATAATAATACACGCCAAATTTCATGAAGATACTTCGTCAAATGAAAGAGTTTTCCATACAAACACTTGATTCCGTTTGTTCAGTTTATATGGCAGCTATAGTTGTCCGATATCGGCCATTCCGACAAATGAGCAGCTTCTTTGTTAGAAAAGGACAGGTGCAAAATTTCAGATCGATGTCTCAAAAACTGAGGGACTAGTTCGCGTATATACAGACGGACAGACGGACGGACAGACAGACGGACATGGCTTAATCAACTCAGCTCGTCACGGTGATCATTTATATATATACTTTATATGGTCTCCGACGTTTCCTTCTGGGTGTTACAAACTTCGTGGCAAAATTAATATACCCTGTTCAGGGTATAAAAATACTAACGACTAAAGTTATATATAAACGTATGTAGATTCATAAAAATTTATGTAAACTCAGTTCGTTCTCGAATAAAACTTTATTTGTTTGCAGTAATAATACGTTTCTAATAAGAATAATCTACAAAACATGTTCCATTATTATACAATATAACATAATTATATATAAACAGTTATAGTTAAAAGCTTTAAATACATACATCAATAAGATATATAGTATTTGTTAAAATTCCGAAAAATTTGCTCAGCTTACAATAAACGTTAAGTATAGTAATACTGTAATATATTAGAGATTAAAAATATAAAATTGCCTTTATATGGAAAATGTTCACATATCAAAAGTCAGTGAAATTTATATTCTCGAAACGTTCATAGTAGTAGTGTATATACTCATACATTTTGCAAATGTCAAAAGAAGTATAGTAAATTACATATATATATATATATCTATATTTTCATAAATAAAAGTAAAAAGACAACTAACCTAAATGCTTGTTTCATTAATGTAGATCATACTGGTATTTGAAATAAATTAAAGTTTGAATTTCACAGCTGTGCATATATGTATGTATTTCGTACTAATATACCTACATATATAAGTATATAGAAACAAATACATTGCTATTAAATTATTATTTGCTAGTTTGGTGAATTTTTATTTACTTAGTATTTATAATTCGAGTTGTTGAGTTAATTTGTATTGTTAAAAAATTTCATATGTTTTAAACATCCAAAGTCACTAAAATACAGGGTTAACGTAGTTTAGTTCGAGAGTTCGAAGAAAAATGTATACATGTAAGGATGTTCTTAGCTTAAGAAGCACAATGAGCTTAATGAGTTTTTCAATATTGTACGTATTTTCTTTTTTCAAGGTAACATTAAAATAAAAAACCCAAATTGGTTGTACCGAAGTCATAAGATTTCATATGTCAGTTTGTATGACAGCTATATGCTATAGTGATCCGACGTGAACAATTTCTTCAAAAATTGTACCGTTGCCTTGGACAATAAACCATGCCAAATTTCGTGATGATATTTCGTAAAAATAAATAAAATGAAAAATATTCAATGGAAATATTATTTCCATTATTCATTCATATTACATAAAATATAACTTATTAATATATATTGAAATTAAATAAAATTTTAAATAACTAAACAGAAAAAAAATAATGTTAAACTCTTTGAATTCTCTCAAATACACAAATTTTGTATAATGCTTATAAAATGAAATAAATATTTTAAATGAAAAATTTCATTTATATTCAAAGCTTTACGTAAAACTATCTGAGGCGTTCCTCTGGCATCCAATTCTTTAAGTAATATATAAAGATATTAAGTGGTTTTTGCAGCTAGTATTGACCACGTTGCCTGATGCGCTTTAAAGGAAAGTCTTTATGACAAGGTGAATCGAGTTAGCCATACCCGTCCGATATGCTGTATATATGCGAACAATTTGTGAGATATCGATCTAAAATTTTGTCTTCTTCTCCCCTAGAAGCTGCTTATTTTTACGGAACCGTTCGGACCACCATATCATACAGCTGCCACATAAACTGAACAATCGAAATTAAGATCTTCATAAAATATCGTTTTTTTTATTAAGTTGAAATATAAATATAATTCGACTTGAAGTTTATTCATATGAAACAACATGGCTAAAAAAAACTAACAAAACGTTTACCATTGGATGCAACCGTTGGCTGGTTACGTTTTCAGATTTAGTTATATGTACACATAGCTGCCCAAAGGAAATGCACATGTGAAGGGTATTATAGCTTCGGTTAAGCCTGACTAAGATCCGGGGAGTAAGTGTGTCAGACCGCCATACGTCGGAATGTCGCATCAGTCAAGTGCAATTCTTGTACTGGCTTGTGTCACTTCCCGACGTGTTCCGGCCTGCGCACCACGCGTGAGTGGAGTGTGTCGTACGTTGTAGGACTCTACTCCAGCAACCCTCTACAGTGGCGTCGCCAAACACCGCCCCTGTGGGTAAATACCCGAGACTAACTCGACTACTACAATTTAACTGCAACGAAATCCAGAGTAAGATCGAGGAGAGAGTTGCATTCATGAGCCGGGAACGCGTATCGGTAGCTGCGGTCCAAGAAAGCAAGTTTTAAACAGCCGCTTAGATGTACAGTTGCGAAGGTTTCAACGTTATACGTAAGGATGTCGAATGAGATAATGGGGGTGGCCTAGTCTTCATACTGCACAACACTGTGCAATATCGTCTTATCGACGTCGATACCTTTTACTTGTTTCCCAACAGGATATCATCCGAGCATAGGTGCGATACTTCGTGGTGAAAACGGTTTGGTACTTAGCGACTTTAACGCGCACCACCATCTTTGGCACTCCTGCCTGCCAAACGATCGTAGAGGGATGGAGCTAGCTGAAAAAATAGACGATTCGAAATTCTGCACAATGAATGACGAACCTCGCTACCTATGCTAACCTTCGCATCGAAGCATCTGCCCATAATTATATCGATTAACTTTAACAAAGCTAACTGAGTCGTCTTCACAGAATTTACCGAGAGCACCTTCACCGCACTACCCATTCCTGCAAATGCCATCGTTGGCGAGCGCCTATTCCGCAAGGTGATCGCTGCTGCTACCACTCACTTCAACCGGCTAGAAAAACAGCGGAACTCCCAATTTCCCAGCCGATACAGCTGTTTTAGCTAACGAGTGCGACACCTTCCACAATGCTGATCTCTGCGATCCCCGAATAAGGGATCTCAATTCGACGATTCAGACGGGGTAAACCAACATAAGCGGACAAAATGGATAGAGCATTTGAAGTCTTGTAACCTCTCCACAGGAGTGAGTACGCTTTGGACTATTGTCAAGGCCTTGGTAAATCCGAAGAGGCATGACGACAGGATTGAAATCCAATTCGATGGCCCAGCCTTCTCGGACCCGAAGAAGTGCCCGAGCTATTTTAGCAGGCAATTCACTTTGCACCCTTCGACAGATAAGACCAAACGATGTGTTACCGACGACTGCGCAAAGTGTCAAAAGATCGCGCGCCACTTACTTTCACCAATGAGGAGGTTCGGAGTGTAATCAACAAAGCAAAATCATCCAAATCCATTGGCCCTGATGGAATTAACATGCTGATGCGAAAGCATCTAGGCTCGACGGGAGTAAGCTTCCTAACCAAGGTCCTCAACCTATCGTCGACCACTCTTCAAATACGCGATGTGTGGAAAGTCGGAAGAGTGGTCCCACTATTAAAACCTGGGAAATCTGCCAACAAAGAGGAGTCCTATCGTCCGATAACGCTCCTTTCCCCAGTAATGAAGACACTTGAGGTCTTGCTACTCTTGACGTTCACTCATAATCTGAGCCTAGTAGACCCCCAGCATAGCTTCCGAAAAGTACACAGCACCACGCCCAAATAGTTCATGGATTAAAACAGAAGCCAACATGTGAGAGGACGATCCTCGTAGCGTTGTACTGCCAAAAGATCCAGCGTTAAAGAACAATTAAACAGGGGGTTCCGCAGGGTTCTCTCGATATTGACGTCAAACAATGGAATCAATGGCATGTGCACAAAAGTAAACTGCTATCTCTCCGACCTTTCTCGCTTCTTCTTTGCAAGGAGCTTAACACTCTCCCTCACTTAATCCACAGCGACCATTTTCATTAACTGACGAAGGAATACAGGCTTGATCTAAACATTCAGTCGATGGCATTACAATTCCGAAAGTCAATGTGCTTCGTCACTTTTCACTCGACCGCGATAACTGCCAAAGTACAGAGCCGCAACAAAATCCTCAAGTCGCTTGCCGGCAGCTCATGGGGAAAATACAAAGATACTGCTCCAACATATAAGGTAATCGGCCGGCCGTTCTTAAATTACGCCGCATCGATATGGTCGCCTGGATGTAGCGTAACGCAGACGAATAAGCTTCAGATATGTCAGAGCACTGCACTCCGGATTATCACGGGATGCCTCTTGATGTCTCCAGACGAAAACCTACACAGCCAGGCCGGCATGCTTCGGGTTAAGGAACATAACGAGCTTCTCTCCAAGCTGGGATGTTTTTGCAGAAAAAACCCCTGCAGTCGTTTGTTTGTGCGGAACCGATTCACAGTGGAGCCATCAACACCTTCACCGAATCCCTTTCAGAGAATAGCGTGTTTGGAGTCAAACCACCACACCACCAAATGCAGACGAAGGGCCCGAGTTGCCACGAGAATCTAGAATGACTCTTGCGCCACTTCGTTCTGGGTACTGTAGCACGTTAAACTCCTACTTATACAGAATCGACACCGAAATCATCTTGGCATGCCCAACGAACTCCACCCATCTAACACCCTTCTCCCTATGGTCCGACAACGTCGAAACAGCAAGTTTCCTGGGCCTACCGCTAGATGACTTCGAAGACAATCAACCTGAACCCTACCACCCAAGCAGGGATTAGATAACCGTTAAAACAACAACAACAACCCCGGGGAGTTAGCGCAGCCTCATACTTCAATTGAATATAATTTATTTATTGGGACTTTGTCAAAAATTATTTGCTCCCAACCCCAATCTTTAACATGTCCGTATAAGCCCTTCGTGGTACTCGTTCAATAAATCAATTAAAAAATTAATAATAATAGTAAATAGTTTTATGCACGCGCTAATATTTTACTAAGGTTGGTGTTGTTGTAATAACATCACTTTAATTACAACATGCAGTTGTAAACAAGTGGGTGCAAAGTAAAGTTGGTCCAACGGAAATCCCCTTTCGAGAGCCACCATTTAATTGTATGTTACATTGTAAACAATGACAAATCAGTATATTGAACAAATTAGTGAGGCCACCAAGAAAACAAAGGCTACGAGCGTTACAAACAATCGATCGGACATATATTCGAAAGCGGTTACAAATCCGATTAGGCCATGAAAATTGCCAAATGTACAAACGGGACAACATCCACCTCGCCTCCCATTTAACGACCTTTTAAAATTATGGTGGGCCTTAACTAGTTTACAGTGAACTCATGACTTCAAGGTACTTCACAAAAATTAATTTTTAATACCTCTTAACTTATCAATTATGGATATTATTTTTTGTTTGGTGCTACCACTCGACGGAGATATAAAAATTTTCTGCACCTGTTCTTTTGTACGGATATCAAATACCACCCATAAATCTATGGTAATCGATTAGTTACCAAACAAGAACTTTTCGTATCAGAATCGGTGTTACACCTTTCTGAAAGTAAAATAATATAAATTAGACGAACAGAAACAGAAAGTGGAATCATAGAATAATGACTTCAGAGAAAACCTGATGATGGTGAGGTTGCTGTTTAAAATTCTACAACATACAAAAATTTATGACACTCGTGAACATTTAATACCGTTCCCCCGTATGATATTCGTTAACCCCCTCATAATTTTTCTTCTCCTTGCTATTTTTATCTAGTGCATAGGGACTATACAAGGTTGTGTTGATCCGTTGCTTTTAACCAGGGTAGGTGATT